CCTTTACTAAAGGAGATCCGTATAGGAATTTTTATTATGATTTTTTATAGGTGCCCACCTATACTAAAGATCAACCTATTAAAATATTTTGGGATGCTTAAAATGTAGGCTAATCTTTACTTGGGTGGTATTTTAATAGTTTATCTGGGTGATATTTAAATTACTGTAAATGCTGAATAAAATACTCCTTCATTAGTAGGCTCACTATATACTAGGGATGTGAATAGACATAGTCTAATCAGAAATATTATTGTCTATTGTCTAATAATTTATTTGTCTAATTGTCTAATTTTCTAATGTCTATTCAGTTTAGTTGTGAATAAACAATATCTATTTAAATAAAAATTTAATTAGACAATATGTCTATTTGTCTATTGGTCAATTGGTCTAATCAATTTATAGTAATATAAATATAATCATTATTAAACAATTCATTTGCATTATTATTTATAATACATAGTATATATTAAGTGTTATACTATATATATAAAATAGGATAGTTTTATTTGTAAATACATCTGCTAAGTTGACTAAGTCTACTAGCCTCTAATTGGCTTACAACTCTAGATGAAACCTCTTGATGAATTGATTCAACTAATTACTTATAAAGTTTCATCTGTTAATTTAAAACATAATCATTTTTATATATAATTAAAAGTAAACATTTAAATGACAGATTATTATAAAAAAAAGCTGACTATATATAATTTTTACATTTAATATAGTATAAAATGGATAATTGTTTGATTTTTTTATTAGCCAATCTAAAACATTCAGGTAGTTGTTGCTGCTGATGAACTTTATTATCAAATCTATAGGAGATAATTAAAATCGCATTTATAGTTGCATTATTATTTCTACTTATTTGAATCTTATTCTTGCAGCATTAGATCAGAATTCAAAGTTGCAATTGCTAATTTTTATTACTAAACCTGATTCTTTAATTAATGTATATACATACTAATTACTACACATGCTTGCTACGTCTATATAATATCAGACCGTGAAAAATTTGTATGTATTAAATTTATAAATTTCTCAAAAAAGCAATGCCATAGGTAAAAGAACTATGTCATGCTCCAGTACCTGATTGATGCATGTAATTATGATCAATCCAAATTAGACAAAACATGCATAATTGAATAATTAAGTGTATAGCCAAATCAGAAAAGAGACAAAACCACAGTGCTCAGGTTTCAGAATATCAAAAGTAAGAATAAGTTTTGTGTTAAAAAAAGAGAAACAGCATTGTTAGTAATGGCAGTAAGACACAAAATAGATAAACAAAGAGAAACCTGCCTGATAATAGCATTGGAACAATTGGTGGTGTGAAAAGGGGTGAAATAAAACTGGTAGTATCCTAAAAATAGAGTAGTTAGTTAGTAGAGTAAAAAAAATATAAAAGAAAATTAACATAATAATGAAAACTTATCTTCTCTAGTTTAAGTAATAGAAGAATTTAAGCATATTATTATAAAAAAAGAGACAGTAGTGGTAGTTGATTAGTTGTTACGTATTATGAAACGCTCTCACACTGGCAGGAAGCCTCCACATTCCTTTACTCCTCATATTAAAATTATTCATGTTCCAAACTTAAAAACTGTCTATGCAATTTGTAAATGGTGTGAACAAAAACATGATAAAACGTATGCTATAGAGAATACACAATGTGTTAATAAAAAAGACAGACTTCGATCACATTTTTAAATTTGTTCAAATTTTAAAGATGCTGTTGGTAAAGATAAATATGATAGATTAATACAAATAACTGAATCGTCTAAAAACTCAACTTCCAAAGCATCAAGTAGTTCCTTTGCTAAAAAAATAAATTCACAAAGTAATATAATTTATAATTAATAATAATATAAATTTTATTAATTTAATAAATTATTCTAATTGGCTTGCTTTAATAAATAGGTGTAGTTTAATAATCAATTTAGCTATATCTTGCACAAGAATATAGTTCAGTTGATTTATTTCATTTTGAAGAATTAGCTTTAAATGCAACTATTGAAAATGACTAGGCATTTAACTTGATAGAAAAAGAATTATCAATTGCTATGCTTAAATTTAAGAATCCAAACCTTGTATTACCAAGCTATGATACTTTTAGAAGATGTATATTAAAAGATGCTGCTCAAGAACTCCACTCAGAATTAGTAACAAAGGCAACTCATGATAAAGTTGGAGTGTCGTTGGCATTTGACGGATAGAAAAATATTTTAAAACAGAATATTTTTGGAACTATACTTATTACATCTTTGGGTGAAGTTCTAGTTTGAGTGTTCAAAATATTAGTAAAGAGTTAGATTGAATAATTAATATAATACCTAAAATTGAAGCATTACTTGAAGATCTAAAAACTCAACAAATTAAAGTTGTTGCTGTGATTTCTGATTCTGCATCAGCTTATACAGCAGCACAGTATTTATAAAATATTTAATATTCATAGAATTTTAAAGCATTTACTTGTTTCAAAAATACTTTAATTCTGAAACTTCCAATTATATAATTTTAATTAGAAAAAAATTAATTTTTTAAGATGTTGTATGCATAAAACTCATCGAGAAATTGTCTTCCTTCCTTGCTTTGCTCACCAACTTAATTTATTTGTTGAAGAAATTTTTAAAGAAAATCCTCACTTTAATAGTGCTATCCAAAAAGTTGTTGAAATCACTAATTATTTTAACAATTCAAATAACTCTTATTTTATTAGTAAGCTAAGAGATGTGCAAAAAATGGTGCATAAGTGATATATTGCATTAATTTGTCCAGGCAATACCAGGTGGAACAGTTTTTATAAAGCATTTGGCAGTTTTTTGCATTTAAAAACATCTTTAATTATAAGTATATACTAGTATATATATTTAAGATTTATTTAATCTAAGGTTAATGTATTTTTATATTATAGTCTTTAACTGCCAAATATGAATCACCCAAAAATAATAACTTAGCTTTGTCAGAATATATTTGTGAATCAATTGGAGACAGTAATTAGTAGAATACACTATCTGAACTCCACACTTTGCTTGCATCTACATGTCTTTGTCTAAATTAACTTCAAACAGATTCAGCTCGTCTTTATGAAGTTTTGCATACTTTTAGTTACCTTTACAAGTTAATGGATAAATATTCTGATATAACTTTTGGAATAAAAATGATAAAACATTTAGAATAACGTTGGAAAGAATGGGAACAGCATCTTTTAATTCTTAGTTACTTACTTCACCCTGATATTCACCTTTTTTGATTTAATTTACCAATTGATGGTATTTCATTTGCTGAATTAGAAAGATGGATTACGTATTATTACTGCACTTGGTTTGGAGATCCACCTAAAAGGATTATTTTTGAGTTACAGGACTACCAAGATGAGATATTTCCTTTTTCAAAAAAAGACTGGAATCAATTTGAGGGTGACATTTTTAAGTATTGGAAACATTGTGCTGAAATCTGACTAGAACTTTTTTTGTAGTACTAAGACTTCATGGTATACTTGTTAATAGTGCATTTGTCGAGAGATTATTTTCATCTATGGGCTTCTTTCATACAAAAAATAGGAATTAGTTAAACGTAACTATTAAAATATATATTTAATGATTGGATTACTATAAAATTCTAAAATTTAAAGTTCAAACTGTCTAATAATGGAATTCTACAAATCACGATAAATTTCAGGATTTTAAAGTGCATTCTATAATTATTATTATTTAAACTAACTTTTAATTTATAGCCAGAAAAGGTTTTAAATATGTACAAGTTGCGTGCTTCAATGCTTTATAAGATCTGAATTGAAAAATTTAAAATTGATATAAATTTTGTGAATTCTAATTTTGCACCTCTGATACTTCAGAATTCTGAATTAGAAGAAGCTGAATTATTTAATGAATTAAGTGAAAATTATACTTCAAATATAACAGAATGGTCTGAAATATTAAAAACTTGGGTTTCAATAGTAGAAGATAAGAAAAATTCAAATAAATTGTATGATAATGATAATGATGACAATGACTTAGATATGATGGCAAATAATTCTTCTACAGATTAAATTGTATTCAATACAACTCATCTAGCTGATAATCTATTAGCCAAATAGAAATTAGAAGGTCTTTTTGTATTAGATATAGTTGCACCACATTATATTGTAGAGGCTGAAACACAAAAAATGCAAAGAAAAAAAAGAAATTGAATTTATTAGAAATGAAATACAAAATAAAGTTGAACCTGAAAATGCTATTGTGTCATCAGTGGATAGTAATAGTGAAGAATCAGATTAAAATTAATTCGGGTTCATAAAAGTTTTCTAAAGAATTTTTTTTTTATATTATTTATATGTTCTTTATTCATATTATTAATAAGAGTTTTATTTGAAATATTATTAAGCATTACTCTAGATATGAGCATATAAGTTTATAGCATAACTTTCTTATAACTTTCTTAATTAAAATCAATAATACTAATGAAATATTATTGAGATTTATGTTTTTCAATTGCTATAATAAAACCTCAATCAATACTTGAGCAGCTTTAATTAATAAGTTAGTGTTTAATTTTTAATTAGTAAAAATTATTTTAGTCAGCCAAGTAAGTTCATTATTGAATATAAAAAGATGGTTTCAACCATTATTATTTTGCACTATGAATTTTAACAAAATTGCTATAAAGATTACTCAATTAATTATAGTACTGTGCATAGTCTTGATTATTATAAATTACAATAAAGATGCTTGAGAACACCTATAAGAATACTGTAGCTATCAATAATGATCTATAGAAAAAATATGATAATAACATTTATTAACCAGAATGATAAAATTTTTTCTTTGACACAAGATATACATATATATATATTTCTTTAAATTATGTTGTACAGACAAAAACGTACTATGACCAAAAGAAGTGTGATCGACTGTTCTGTGATTGATGATTTTATCTGAAACCAGTTTGGATGTATAAAAATATTTGTCCCATGATCAAATGATATTGATAAGGCTTATGCACCAAATCTGGTATGATTCGAATATATAGCAATGAGGTTTTAAAATAACAAAAATCTAATATCTTTCATAGTGCCAAGGAAGGGCTAAAGATCATAATAAAGAAATTGCTATATAAATAAAAGATAGTTTGTTAGTATTGTTGTTAGTATTAGTTTAGTATTAGTAATAAATAGTAAAGTAGTAAATAGAAATATACTCGCCAAATTATCTATGCCTCAAGTAGTAAGCGCCTTCTCTGTTCTAATTATCCAAAAATATTTAAGTAATGATCTTAGTAGACAAGCAATTCAATTCTAATAATGTGGTAGAATCATCTCAATGTTAGTTGTCGCATTGTATTATATTATCATAACTTCCTATAATTATAGCAAAGTAATATAGTACAGCTATAATGCTGCAACTTACTATACTACTTACTATAGTTACAGCAAATTATAGCAATGTGATGAACATCATTGGGACGATTCTATTATATTACTACTCAATTTTAGCAATTTATTATTTAGTTTTAATAAAAATTTTTTTTTTTCGGTGTTAAAGTGAGGTCATTGACTCATATCTTTATTAGATATTTGATTAGAGTATTTGCCTTATAAGGCTACATATCTATCTAAGAATACAAGCTTTGGACAATTATCCATAATCTAAACCTACCAGAGTATGCTATGTTCTCACTATGTATTTGGTTATACCTGGATTTGGTGTTCAGACTATTTCTAGTTACACACCATATTCACCCATATCTCACTATCAAACCTTGATTATTCCCAAATTGGTTCTTTCAAGAAATCGGTCCTTTTATAGCCTCCTAATTTGGTGTGTCTGTTATTTGGTACGTACTAGTACTAGTAGATAACCTTTCTTATAGGTAGCCTCTCGTATATATATCTCAAGCCAGATGCCTGCTGCTGCCATCAGTCCCACATAAGAAGCATTGGTATCACATTTTGGGTCTTTGGACTTATCTTGTATTTGCACTGCCTATTGTCAGCTTGCATCTCTTCATACAATGTTGCATTGCATGAATGCCACAGATCCTTCCACTTACTCCCCAGGTAAACTGACCTCGTATCTCAAGCCAGGCCTCTGCTGCTGCCGATGGTTTGCCATCCCCAGGTCTTGATGTTTTCTAAGTTGTATAGTGCAGTTGTCAACTTCTATCCCCTTATGTACTCTCTTATATGGTGTTTACCGGGACCATAATTTGTAAGAACCCTCTGAAGTTGCACAGCAACTGCAAGGCTACACACTTCTAGCCATTGGCTTTCATAATTTGCTTTAATGATCTATCTTGTTAAAGACTGGCCTAACATCACGAAATTACTTAAGTGGCAAGCTAAATCACTTCCAGCTATTTCTAGTTGGTGTGGCATTTATGCTGGTATATCCTAGCTCTTTTCATCCTAGACTTCCATATAGGTGTGACCAGAGCTCCGATTTGGTGCATTTAGATGTACAGGGTAGGTTACATTCTTTATAACAAATAGCTTTCTATAGTCATTCCACCAATGCCAGAGGTGCTTCCAATTCAGTTAAGGCTTGATTCTTTGTCACAGCCCATAGTTGCATATCTCCGCTTCACTCACTACTCCAGTTTTGATAGTATTAAATTACCCTTCCAAGCAAGTATCTAACATCATACCATATTAGGACTTATTCGCACGATCTGTTGATTATCCTTCCAAGCAAGTACCCTACAAGTTGGATGCAGAGATATTGGTAATGCCAAATATAGAGATGATAGGATGTTGGTGTTGCCTCTTAGTTACCCCAACTGAGGACTTATATATGCAATCTTCTACAGCCTAGACTTTCTGTGATGCCGCTGACACACGTAGTGCCTACACACTGCAACCAGGTCTCTTTCCGGGAACTCTTATTCTGATCTTGTACTGCACTTGGACTTTCCACAGGGCTTCGTATCTGATTTGACTCAATATGGTTACAGTAACAAATTCGAAAATTTGCTACCAGCTTGACATGAACCGTTGACCTTGTCTGTGGGGGTTTTGAAGCTTAACCAATAAGCTACGGGACCCAAACCCCAGTTTTAATAATTAAAAAATAAATATTCTTATTAAGATTATAAATTTTTGTTAATCAAACTCTAATTATCCAAATTGGTCTTAGTAGACAAGTAACTCAATTTTAGCAATTTATTATTTGGTTTCAATAATTAAAAATAATTAATTTTAATAAGTTAGATGCCAATTAGTTCTGAACTAAACTATAACCAAAAGCATTTTTGTACTATAGTTTATTAGTAAAATTTAGAAATTAATTATTAATTTTATATAAAATTGACTTGCTAGTTTATTAAAATCACTAGAATAGTTAAAATCAAATTATTTATATACTAAAATAAATTAACTTATTAAATAAAATTTTAACTTTAATTAAGAATATTAAATATTTAATCTATTAAATATATTTATTTAAATATAATAAATAATATAAATTAATTAATATATTAATTTGTCTATTGTCTAATGATTTGATTAGACATCATTAGATCATTAGACTGTCTATTGTGTCTATTGACTTGTTTATTGGCTGCTCACAACCCTGATATACTATATTCAGGTACAGTGTTGTCAATTTTTAATGTTCGAGTTATTTTTGGAGGACTAGACATTTTTGGACATTGTCTAATGTCTGTGTCCAAATTATGTCTGAGCCAATAAATTGTCACTAGACATTGTTTGTGCAATATTTGTCAGACACAGACATATTGCAGACACAGACATCAGACAATGTTCTTAACAATGTCACGGTAAGCAATACTATTACCCAGGCCAAGATCCACATTTGTAACACCATTTCACGATCTCCGAAGTACTATTTATAAAGGAAAAAGTATGTTAGTAAAAAGAATTAAATAGAGAAAAAAAGAATAATGAAACAGAAACTGATACAATCCTCATATAGTGCCTTTTCACATTCTCAAGTAAGTGGAAAAAGAATTAAAAAAAAAAAATTTCCTAGATTCTTCGCTTATTTTATTTTTTATTTTATTTATTTTATTATTTAAAATCTAGTAATTCTTTTTTTTTTATTTTAATTCTTTTTTTACTTGCTTGAGAATGTGAAAAGGCACTATATGAGGATTGTACCAGTTTCTATTTTTGCGTCTTTTTTTTTTCTTATTTCTTTTCATTAACACACTCTTTCTTTTGTAGATAGTACTTCTTCGGGAATCATAAAATGGTATCATGACTGTGGATGGATCTTGGCCTGGGGAGTGTACTAGTTTTTATTTTTGTTGTCTTTTTTTTTCTTATTTCTTTACATTAACACACTCTTTCTTTTGTAAGTAGTACTTCTTCGGAGATTGTAAAATGGTATCGTGACTGTGGGTAGATCTTGGCCTGGGCTGGTATAAAGAGTGTACCAGTTTCTATTTTTGTATTTTTTTTTATTTCTTTTTATTAACACACTCTTTCTTTTGTAGGTAGTACTTCTTCAAGGATTGTGAAATGGCGTCGCAAATGTGAGTGGATCTTGTCTGGGCTGGTATAAGGAGTGTAACAGTTTCTATATTTGTCATCCTTTTTTTTTCTTATTTCTTTTCATTAACACATTCTTTCTTTTGTAGGTATTACTTTTTGGATCATGAAATGGCAACGCGAATATAGGTAGATATTGGCCTGGGCTGGTATAAGAAGTGTATTAGTTTCTATTTTTGTTGTCTTTTTTTTTTTCTTTATTTCTTTTTACTAACACTCTCTTTCGTTTGTAGATAGTACTTCTTCGGGATCATGAATTGGCGTTGTGAATGTGGGTGGATCTTTGCCTGGGCTGGTATAAGAAGTGTACCAGTTTCTATTTTCATTATCCTTTTTTTTTTATTTCTTTTCATTAACACACTCTTTTTTTTGTAGATAGTACTTCTTCGGGGAGCGTAAAATGCTGTCGCGAATGTGGATCTTGTTAAGGAGTGTACCAGTTTCTATTTTTGACATCTTTTTTTTTTATCTTATTTCTTTTCATTAACACACAATTTTTTTGTAGGTAGTACTTCTTCAAGGAGCGTAAAATGCTGTCGCAA